CTTGGGGAGTACAGCAGAACAGACATAGTCCTGGAGAGACTTGGGGCGAGCCTTGACGCAGTCTAAAAGAGTCTTGGGTCAGCCTTGCGATAGTCTTGGGGATTTTTCCCCAGGGCGCTGTGTCTTATAGAGTGCTCGATTGACCGACTAAGACGAGAGCTGAAACGTATTTCATTGTGTGTGTCTTATTTGACTGTAAAGTATAAGTGACTTTCCCGATCCCGCACCTCGAGGGGACGCGATATAGAGACGAGACGAGATTCCCCCCTGGCAAGTGTGGAGAACCCCAGAGGAGAAGAATTTCCCCGTGATGCGTGGTGTGAGAACCCTGGGCATTGCGTCTTACGCACATTGACATCCTGTGAAGAAAAGTGAAATGGTGAAGGTGTGTCTTTCTTGCAAACCGAACTAACTGGCTCGATGGGAGAGACGAAACCGCGCTTGACGACTAACACCATTAACAGTATGGCACCGATGTACAACGCAGAAGAGATGAAGACTTCTGAACCCCTTATGAAGGACGAATATCGTATAGGACTGAATAATTAAGACTTGAGCGACATTAAAGACAAGAAGACGATAAAGAACGACCCGGGCTAATGCGACGAAAGAAGAAGACGCTATATAAACTTTAGATTAGAACTTTAGCTATCTGTGTATTGCTTAGAGAACTGCTCGCTGGACACTGTAACTGACACTGTGTAACTCAAGACGTTGAACTCTTTTCCACAATTTTAACCCTATTGTTCAGTAATGTAATGTATTGCTTGCTTTTCCTATCGTTTTTTCTTACCGTTTTTTTGTGATGTTGAATTGTATGTGTGTAAGCGCCCAGATCTTTTTTTTTTGAACTGATATTTAGTGACGTTCGAGGTCCTTTATAACGATTTAAGCGCGCCTCAGTGGACAAGTATTTGCAACACAGTGTTTTGAGTTTTGTGAAGTTTTATAGAGTTTTAATGAGTTTATGAGTAAGGATTATGATAGGAGGAATGATGCCCCCACGAGTTTTTCAGAGTTTTGAGATTTGTCGATGTACAGAGATATCGACGTTTTAAGAGTTGTTATTGTTTATGTGTTGTTTCCGGAATACTTCTGATGCTTTTTGAGTGGAGAGCACCTTTGTAACATTTTTTAATGTCTTTTTGGGATGAGATGTGGTGCGCTTATATACGTATTGTTTGATAACGCAAGCTTTTGTTCATTATTGACAGGATTGTATGTAACTTAGTAGTTTCTATCGTTTTAGCCTTTTCCCGTCTTTTGGCCAGAGGAGTAATGTGTTATGATAGCTTTGTCTTTGCATTCCGTTTCCACGCCATATGACTTGTGTTTAGATTAACGACTTGTGAGGTCAGTTGAAGTTTATAAGCGTATATGACAGGAGTTTGATTAATAGCTTTTTATTCATTGTTTATTAGTTACCGCTTTGCAATGCTTTAACCGAGAGATGCATCCCTGGTAATCACGTGATCATGCTGTCGACTGCAGCGATTGGCTGATCGCTTGGTTACACCGCCACGCCTTAGTTTTTTTTGATCTTTTGATATAGAGTTTGTAACCTTAGTAACGGAGACAGTGCAGCGAAGGGTTACCTCAGCGAACTGTTTGAGAAAAGTGAGTCGATTGGTAGCCTTTCCCTTGTTTTATTTGAGACTTTATAACCATTGTATTTAGACATTATAATCATTGTACTTAATTAGTGTGTTTTACTCTTTTTTATTTATATCCTTTTATTAGTATTGTATTTAACCTGTATGACGATGAGTAGAGGACGATAT